GTGGTGCTCTACAAGATCTCCAGATGGTTGACATGTTCCAAGGTTTCTTCAAGAAGAATCAGCAGGCACAATTGGTGGCCTTCCTGATGCCAACGCCATAGTTCGTCACTTCTGAGAGCGGATCGAAATCCATGAAATCTGACGGCTGCATCAAGTTGCAGTAAGAGGAGGAGTTGTTCATCTTGTTTGGACGGCCTGTGCTGCTCAGCATTCTATGAAATTTGATTTTGATGAGCCCCAAAATTGTGATGCAACTTGTTTGGGCAACGTATAATGCTTAAAGGGGAACCGTCAATTTCTGCAAGTCACTGCAAGGCCATTGTGACCTTAGATTGTAACAAGTTCTGTGGGAGGATTGGGAGGGAGGCTGGTGACAGGAGAGGTCGAAGTTGAAGACTTGCTGACACATGTCGCCGCAACGGAAGTCAAAGGACTTCCACATTTGACTCTGAGAATACTCCAAGCCAGCGACTCTCCTGTGTGTTCTTGTGCAGGTCCTGCATTCAACGTGCACCGGTTCATTGAAAGAGAGCATCAGACCATGATATTCCAATGAAGCAATATTCAAGTCCTTGCTGAAAAGATGTGGCGCCAATTCCATTGTCACATTTAGTTGTGCCAGGGACACAAACAGAGAAGTCCGTCCGATGAGCGCATGTATTTATTATGTGAAAAGACCCTGACTTGTTTCGCAGACAAACGAGTTCACTCGATAGACTTCCCTCAAGAGGAGTATGCTTTGAATGCCTAGATGTTGAATGCTCATCATATTTCCTTGATGTTGAGTTGTCAAAGCCTTTGCAGTAGAGAGCCGCTCATATCCAGAGACGTTGTGAAAAGTTCTTCACCTTCTTGCAATGCATGCGTGATGGTTGTGGTTTTGTCAGTGCGACGTGCCGCAAGAATGCAGTTGCAAAGCCATGTCGATTGAAGCTCAGGTAAAAGAATCCGCTAAATCTGAGATGTTCCTTGCCGTCCCCAAGAGTGTGAATATTTTCTCAGCAGGTTTCCAACCTCGAACGAATCATTTTGTGGACTTGCATCTGCATGACTTGGCCTTGGCAGGCAGTAAATCCAAGTAGTATTTTGCCGCCCAAACGCTGGACCGCGAAAGGTTTGGCACAGTTGTGGCTTTTGCAGATGGCACCAGAAATGCCCTGCTCCCAGATACTGTACCATTTGTTTGCTGGAGCGGTTCAGATGCTGGACTGTTCTCCATGCGTGCTTCAAGCAAAGCAAGGGGACGGTAAATCGGTCGAGTGTCACAAAACAATGCCCAAAAGTCTAATTTCCATAAGTCTCATTGTATGTAATGTTCCCAAGTGTTCAGGAGGAATATTGGAGTTACAAGCTCTCGTCGACTGGGGGTTGCTGTCCATCACCTCATTTCTGAATGCAAAGAGAGAAGCTGTGTTGTGGACAGCTTCAGTGGCTACAGCTTCCAGGACCCACACTCAGAGCCCAAAGACTTGGAGCAGGTCGCTACCATTGCAAATTTGGTCAACATGCTCAACAGGCTTCCATATAAACCCGAAGTTTTTTGAAGTGAAACTCTTTCAGCTTTGTAAAACTTCAAAAGCACTCTGCAAAACTTGGAAGCTCTGGAAGCTCAGAAAGTTTCCAAAGTGTGCTGTGAATGTATCCGGGAGATCTTGTTGAGATGCCGTCGTAGCGGTTTCCCATGGACCATTGCACGCGAATCGACATAAACTGTACCAGGTCTAATTCGACAAACTGTGTGTTCTTATCTTGAGTTCATACCACAATGTACCGCGGCAACAGGGACCTCATGTCTGCATCCCAGTACATCCTGGAGTCACCTCGGCCATGTCAGGGTGTCGGTGTCACCTCTCAAACCAGTGATCTGAAAAAGTTGAAGCCCCAACCATCTCAAGCATATGCCAAACCTGTTGGCGTCTCCCACTTCACTGATAGCTGCCTGCTCTTTGCGGAGTACAAATTCAAGCGCGAACAGGAAGCACGGAGCGCCCGACGTGGGTCTCTCCCAGTTCAGCCGAAGCCAACTAGATGCGGCAGACTGAAAAGAAGCAGGGCCAGAATGAGGAGTTGCATACCGATGCCTCTCAAGTTGTGTAAGAGGATTGCAATGGCATTGCAATCCGACAGCATGCAATTCACAACTTTGGTTCAAAACAAGTGTTCCATAAGCCTGTCCACATTGTATCCAAATTGCGCAACAGAGCAGTTGCATGGACCTGCTCAGCTTTCTTTGAAGAGTTGCATTCCGCTTATGACAGTACTCTTCCACCGAGGTGCTTCTCTTGACAGAACAGTGAGTAGTTTAATCTCACCCTTGCATTCAAGAGCTTTGCAGCAATTCAGCCTTGCGATTCAATCTCCGCTGCGTGACAGCAAAGACCGCGTCGTTCGTGGATATGCAAAGCAAACAAAAAAGGATTGGCCTGCATGGCAGTGTTAAAGACGACAAAGCCAGTGCCCGCACTGTTCACATCAGCGATGCTCCGCTTTGAGAGCATGCCATAAAGCCACTTGATCAACCAGTCAAGTGGTTCTTTAAATCTATGAGGCTTAGAAATCCTGAGCGTTCCAGTTCTTTGCAGCTCTATTCACTGTACTCACTGAAGTCGCGGCAGAGGCTTCACAGATCGCACTTGTGCAGTACCATGCGGGTGCTGTAGTGATGCGGTTTACTTCTCCTTTGGCCAAAGATTTTCTGCCCAAGACTTGCAGGATCCAAAATAAATCGAGAAGAATGGTAGGGTTGCCAAAGGATACTCCCACAGACAACCGCACAGACCCTTCAGCGGCTGAGACTTCAAAGTACCGCTTGATGCTGGCTACACTAGAGCCGCTCTTGCGGCTCATGGAAAATGAGACATCGAATCCGCCTGCCCTTCATCTCAGGTTGTGCAGAGTTCACCGCCACGTGCCACACATGGGCTCAAAAACTGAATAATTGTCAAACACCGTCGGTAGAATGCTGCCCCAACAACAATCTTGCCGGTAGTCTGCATCGGACCTGATACCAATGCGATGCAACTGTTCATGCTATCCACTTTCTAAGGAGTGTCCAACGAAAAGCAAGAGTCCACTCAAATCTTTGACTTAGCGTGAACTAGGGCCTGGTGTTCGTCGAGAATGGCAACAGCCAGATGTAGTGCGGTTTATGGAAGGACATCAGAGAAGATGGAAATGATGTGACAGAGATGACGATGATAAAAGCAACATGACCAAGTGGCTGTTACGAATCCGGAGTCAGCAAGCTGGAATGCAAAAGGCCGCCATATCAAAGATCATCACCACTGTCACCACTGTCACCACTGCCACGTTTCATGCTCGATGCCTTCCATGCGCCTTCCATGCGCCTTCGCTCAGGTCACAAGAAACAGCAAGAAACCATGGCGTTTTGATGCCGAAGTCAGTTGAAGTCTTTGTCGTTTTGTCAACATGTTAAAAAATGCCACCCGCGGTACGAGCGTGATGCAGTCACCACTCTGGAGTGCCCCAAGATATCACTGGGGGGCATGGCGCAAGTGGCGCAACTGGCACAATCTTAAGACGTGTGACTTGTGAGTTGTTAAGACTTGCGAGTTGCGAATGAAGTTCTTGGATTTTGCTTTGATATCTTTGCGGTCTGAATCCAGTTTTCATCAGTTTAAAACTTGCAATGTGCTCAATGTGCTGGGTGAGGTAGGCTGCCAGCTCGCTCGAAGTTCTGACATGGTACTGAGTCATACTGAGTCATACCGAGTCATACTGAGTCCTGCTGCAGGAAAAGCATGACTGAGTCATTACATGGTAATCTAACGCAATCTGGGCATGGCATTGTAAGAGCCAGGATGAGAGGATGGCGATGGACTGGGCCATGACTATGGCCTGAGCGGCCTGAGAGATGGGACGAACCTTGACGCCTTGAACTCGGAAGACTTCCACGATTTCCACAGCTTCTCAGATCGGTGTGGCCGCCGCTGCCTACTTGACTCAGGTTTGCTTTCACACCGTTCACACCTGATAACGTCTCTCGGAACAGGGATTGAACCATTCAGTACCCATCTTGCTGTCCATCTTGCTGTCCCTCGCCGTCCGGTTTGTGCATCTTACAGAATCTTACATGGTTTGTACATCGCCTTAAGGTTTTGCCACCGAAGATCATGCATTCCGGACTTCAGAGCGCCAGGTCCGTAAGTGGACACTGCAAAAACATCCAAGCTTGTGTAGCTGCCTGGAAACTCTTAACGAAACAATCTAAAGCAGCTACAGCAGCATTCTTCCTTCGATATGGCCTATAGGCCTTCAGGGTCACGTTGGGTGCATCCGAAAGATAATGCAACTGGTCGTCACCCCAATCTTTCACCGGCAGGGAGATTGTGGCATGAAAACTTGCCCGTCTTGCCCGTCTTCGTGAAATGACATAATTGAAACTGTTAAGCCTGTTAAGCCTAATAAGCTTTGTCACTTCAGTTGTCATTTCCCTACCGTTGTCGGAGCAAAGCTTGGAACAAAGCTTGGAGCAAATGGTGCTCATCGTGTGCTTGAGCGTTTCAGGGTGGGTAGGGTGGGCAGGGTGTGCACTGAGCGGCGGTCACTGCGCTTTGAGGCTGCTCCGACCAGCGACGGATTCGTCCACCTCGTCGACCTTGCTGTGGCCAGCTCTCACCCGTCACCTGTCCCAGCTCCCGTCACCCGTCACCTGCCCGGGCGTTTCGCATCGTTTCGCCTCATCTTCGCCAAAGCTATGCAGCCCTGCAGCCCGAGCTCGTTGTTTCGTGTCACCCGTTTCAAGAGTTCATTGATGTTCGTTTCCTTTTAAGCACCGCACGAGGTGCTTCAGTCAGCACGGCGCCAGATTTCTAATGGTGGCTGCTCCATTTGCTCCATAGCAAATGCAGCAAATGTTTGTTGCCATGAGCTTTCAAGGAGCCAGTGGCGCCATCAGATTTGTGGACAAGAGTGGCTGGACGTGGCCATGATGGATGGGAGGAAGTTGTCGCTTTTCCCATGAAAATATGTCGAAGATGGGGCCGAAGACAGATCCTTTCGCCGCCTCAACGGCACCAAGTTCCCTTCGACGCACTTTTTCTACCCCGATCAGATCGTGATCGATGTGATCCACGTCACATGGTCCACGTGATTCACGTGATTCACGTGATCCGCACCGTGTTCCAGTCACCCCTGGCAGTGGAAACGCACAAGTTCCAGCTTCCAAAGCCAGACACACTTTGCAGTAGTCAATCAGCTCTCTTTCAAATTTCGGTCAAATCACACAGCCAAGAGTCGAGGAAGCCGAGGAAGTCGAGGAAGTCGATGCAGAAAAGTCTCAGGGCCAAGGTGTCCAGATTCCGGTTCTTTGCCAGGTGTCCTGTACAGATCTGTCCTGTCTCGCGAATAAAAAGTTTTCTATCACAATGGTTCCATGGTTCCGTCATAAGATGTCCTACCTTAACGATAAATCTGAGAAATTTAAAGTCACCTTCCTGCAAGACTGTGCAGATGTGTTGCAATATCATTGACGGAAACCAAAGGCACTCTTGGCAACGTCCTGTGAAGCAAAGGCTGAAACTGTTGAAAAGTGGCACATGACGTACAGATTGTCATGCAGATACGCCAGAATTCGTATTGCTCCTGGGCCAATCTTACGGGTACCCAACGTTTCGGCGAATGCATTGAATGCTTTGACGGGCAGCAAAAGAAACTTTGGAGCGAGAACTGCATTGGTCGGAGTCGTTGCTGGCGACTGTTCGCAGCCCCTTTTCGAGACTGTATAGAGCCTGGAGACGCTTTTTACACCAAAACTGATGCTTGGTGCGACGGGCTCGACGGGCTCGACACTTGTTTGATTCAGACTGATGCCATGTTGGAGCTTGCATGGTCTTCTCAGCCTGCCACCAGCCACAGCCACAGCAGCCACAGGGAGAAAAAGTGAAGTTACTACCTTTGACACAATTTGATACCACATCGGTTTTGAATTCTCTAATGCCAAAGCGACATTCTTTGTCCGTATGTGTTTGCGCTCAATGAGAGGCTATCACAAAGTTGTGCTGGGAGGTTCTTTGGCCAAGATTCAGCAATTACGATACTTCAAACATCCCAACAAAAAGCGGCTTAATTAGTGATTTCAACCCATCAGAAACCAATCGTGGTCATGAATCATCTCAGTCAAACTGGGAAAAGCATGACGAAAATTTGCACATATTTGAAGCCAGCATCCAGAGGCAGCTTGCAGATAAATGCAGATAAATGCTTCCCCTTTAAGATTTGACGCAAAAAATGAATCTACGCATCAATGAAAAATAGCCTTGAATATGTGTGAATGCAGGTCTAAAATGGTATAAAAGGGTAGGAAAGAGTGTTCCCATTTCTGACTGCCAGGTACGGCAGGTGCGAAAAAATGACAAACATGACAAAAGAAATTGGCCATTTTTTTTCACGAAAGCGGGAGCCTTGGCTGACCAGCTGGAACTCGCTACTCGCCGGGGGACCCTTAGTGCTAGGCCGTTGGCGCAGTCTGTAGCTGAAGACTGGCTTAAAGAAGCCCTTGCAGTGTGTACAGACACTAGGGCGCACAGTTTTTGCCAGACTATCAGGCGTGATCTGTCCTCTTTTTCCCTAATTCGTTCGTAAGGCGGAACGATGCACGGCAGCAAGTTCTGAAGCAGTTGCCTCTGCAGCCTTTGCCCCTGTGTGGGCCACGTCGGGCACCGGCACTGCTCCAACCGAAAAAGGAGCGAAGAAACGATGAAACGAAACGAAGCAACGAAACAATGAAACAATGAAACATATGAAACAGTATGCATAGCATATGTAGTGTTGATGCTTTCACAGCGATGTGTTTACGTCACGACACTCACAGCACAGCCCAAAACACAGATTCAAACGCAAAACAATTTATCTACTATCTACATATTATATGTTATTATATATACATTGTATACCAGTAGTGCCCGCACGAGGCGGGGCGGAAGTTGCCTTAGGGATATAATATAAGACCTTTCTCATCTATAGAACTTGCATGCTCCGTGCGCCAGCCAGGCCCGTGCGTGCATGCATTCTGCGAAAGTTGTGTCCTGTTTCACATGTCATATTTTAAGCTCCACTATGCTCCACTTCGCACTTCACACTTCTCACTGCGCTCTTCACACTCCACACTTCGCACTCCACACTTCACTCTTCATGCCCCACACTTCACACTGCACTCTTCACACTCCACACTTACACTCCACCCTTCATCTCATCTGAGCTCTTCTCACCTTATCCCAGTTCATCTCTTCTTATCTCATCTCTTCTCATATGTCATTTAAGCTTCCATGAATCACTTCCCAGTACTACTTCAAGAACTTGCCTGCGCCGTGCGCCGGCCAGACCCGTGCGTGCGTGCTTTGTGCGAAGCTGTTGCAGCGTTGCTGTCCAAGAACATGACCTGCGCGCGACCCCGGTGCAATGCAACGCCAAGCAAGCACTTTCCTCACACTTCACATTGCGCTCTTCACGCCCCACACTCCACACTTCACACTTGCACCTCATCTCAACTCATCTCATCTGAGCTTGTCTCATCTCATTTCATGTCTTCCCATCTGTCAGCTAAGTTCTTCTTGGCTATTTTCATGTCATCTGAGCGCGGCTCAACCTTTCTCATCTCACCGAAGCTAGTCTCAACTCATCTCGGCTCTTCTGCACGTCAGAAAGCTTGAGACACAGATGCATTTACACAGAAGAGTCTTTACAAAATACTTTGTACTACAAAGCTTGCACAAAGCACTTCCCAGTACAACCTTGTACTACGCAGCTTGCACAGAGTACTCCCCAGTAGTACTTTGTACACAAGACTTGAAGAAACACCTTTCACCTCATCTCACCTCTTCGTAACTCATTTCAATTCTTCTGTATGCCAAAAAAATTGGTAACAAACAGAATCCCTTGTGCACACACTTTCTATATTGTATAGGTGAAGCTTGTGGATGCTTGTGGTATATTGCACACCTAGACCATAATATATTTACAGTATTGAGGTGATTAATGCCAAGTGTTCATGCATTGCACCAAATCTCAACTGCAAGTCTTTCGTCAACTTATTGTAAACATGGTGTAGTTGTTATCTGTCAATCAGACTCACACAGTCCAGGGTCAACAGCTGCATTCTTTTTCAGCACTGCGCTATGTGCGCTATGTCTAGGTTTTGGCAGCTCTTTGGACCCGCACTGGCACGAAAGGCTGGACAGCTTAATCCGCAAACACTTGTTGGCAGCCTGGTTGCCCGTCATGGCACTTCACGAAGCAAATCAGGCAAGAAGTTCTCACTATCCGCAATGACATTGCGGACCCAAGCTGCATCTGCTTGTGACAAACGATGCTCGGTAAGCACTCAACACCATCGCCGCAGCGTGCACACCGTCATCAGTCAGGGCAACGCAGTGATGTTCTGCCAAGGTATCGTCTTGTTCCGTGCAAACAGTTGTCAAGGCTTCGAAACAAAGAGCGCAGAGTCCGTATTTGAAGTAACCCAAACCAATAATCCTGCCCTCCTCGGTTGGGATACTTCGGCTGCACGCGAAGCACCGGGAATTTTGCAACGCATCGTAGACATGCAATGCAATCTTCAAACTGTGCTTGAGAGCTGCCATTTCTTCGAAGCCAATGTCAATCATCAAGTTTTGCAACTCCAAATTTCCTTCCTCTTCGACTTTGCGTTGCAGCAAGTTTCTAAGGTTAGCGCTCTGCAGCACATAAGCATTCGTAGCTGTCGAAGCAGCGCTCACGTTGCTGAGCGCATGAAGATCCAGCAATTCGAAATCGATTGCAAACCGCAAGAAGTCGCAAGGTCTCATAGCCATGGCGTTTGCCCTCGTGGACTGCACTGTCGCACGAGGACGCTATCAAAATGGTTTTGCAACAGCGGTGCTTAGCTACAGTAGGTTGCCGAAGTGTCTGTAAGTCTCCTGTCGTGTAACACAGTTAGTAAAGACATGGAGGTAGCACGAACATGTGCGTCATTGCATGAACTTTGGTGCCTTCTTCTTTGCGTGTTCTCTGACTGTACCTACAAAACCACGAACTGCAACTTTATTTATCGTTGGCAGCTACCACTTCAAACAGCTGCAAGCACGTCATACCAGTGATTTGACATCGATGCTGGGATTCACTATCATACATAAACTCTTCGTTCCAGTCTGGAGCAAACACCGCTTCACATAAGAGGAAACATCTAACAACCAATACATTCATCCTGTTCTGATTCGCGTTCCCAAGTCTCTTCATAAAGTTTGAAACCCTGATATTCCTGGAGCATCCTGGTGCTCAAAATTTTGATCCGAGATCAGAATACATCATAAAAAGATCCGTGGTCCTGAAAAAGGTCGATCACTAAAAAAAAGATCCGTGACAGGGATATGTTTCCATGATCATTTGGGAACCAACAGTGTTGACGCGTGATGCGGTTGAAGCTGGCATCATCGTGCTCAAATGATGGTGTTTCGCAGGCTTATCCATCTAGATTCAGGAATCATCCATGAACAAAGATGAGAAAATGGTTTATAACCTAACCGGTCAATTTGGTTTCGAACCATGGAAGGCTATTTGGCACCAATCAATAACCCTGCATAATCCTTAGTTAACACCCACCGCCTGTCTCATCGCTGCTGCCACCTTGATGGTTTTCAAGCTGGTCGGGGCACTAAGCCGGAGCAGGGAGCAAAGCGGACATCCAAGAAATAACTCCAGGAATCAAATGACAAAATTGTTTCTTACTCACTTCTTGGGATGTCGTTTTTTCAGTTTCGTTTTGTAAACTGATTTAATTTCTTTGTACCTCCCGTACGCTGCCTTGCACTTAATTAAGTAAAGGTCCAGTGTCCTTCTTGCAGGAATTTGCGGCGACACACGCCGGGATAAACGTGATAGTTTTCCTACCACATCCTCACACATGTCACAGCTCCAGATAGCTGGATTCAAAACCCAAATGGTATCTGGATCCATGAGCTGGCAGTACAACTCATACTTCGTATGCGTCAGCATGTGCAATTTGGCCTTCATTGCAAAACCTGGAACTCTGAAGCTATACAAGCACATGTGCGCCAACTTGTTGTACGCTTGGATGAAATCATGGAAATATTCGTAAAGCACGGCCCCACAAGTCTTTGTAAGCCAAAGGCCGTGGCCATAGACAATGCGCTCCCACCCCTGCACCCAGGTGGCTGCTTTGATGATGGTCTCCAAAGCTGCTTTTTGCCGCTCGTCTTGAGTTTCACAAAGACACGCATGTGCCAGAACCTTGATCCAACCAATCATAATTGTAGTATCTGATGCCTTTGTGTTAACCCAGGCATGGTGCCAACTACGGGTAGCATTGAAGAATATTGGGGTGAATGAGTGCAGAGCTGGATAATGGGAAGTCGTCTTGCAGTACCATAAAAAATGGTCATGGGCCCTCTCAAGCAAGGCATCTCGACTGTTGCTCACTTCACCTCGTGGCCCATTGAAAAATCCAAAGTGCAGGATAAGCATGATAGAGCTGCCGCAAAAATCTCTGAGGACACCAACTTTGGTATTGTGGAAAAGATCTCTCTTGATCATCTTTTCCGGGGTCGCAGAGTTGAACGGAATTTCACAAATTGCTGGTGGGTTTGATTCTCTCCAAGGCCTTTCTGGAAACAGGTGGTGGCCCCAGAGTGGCTGATGGCGAAAGTCTTCCCATGGGACCGATTGGGATCCAGCGGCGCATTCGTGACACATGCGCTTGGCATTCCCCAATTGCTTATTGAAGCAACGTTCCAAATTGCAAATTTTTTTCATACCAACGTAAATCACCTTTGAGGCCCACAATGGCAAGAAACCATCTTTGTGAATTGACCACAACACCATTGGTAAACAGCTCTTTGAATGCTAAACAAAGCTCTCCCATGAAAGCATCCAGTACACCAGTGCTCTTGTAGTACTTGTTGGGGAGAACTCCCAAGACAAATTTTGTCAGGAAGCTATTGTGCTTGAGATTGGTGACCTGGTTTGCACAAAGAGGCGTATCTCCAACAGTCTGATGTGTGGGTCCATGTGCCAGCTTAAACCGATTCCTTCCTTTGTCAGAGACTTTGCAACCAGAACATCTTGTCGCATCCCATTGGCTGTCCATGTTTGGTAAGCCTAGACAAGTCTCCATGCTGATGACACAGGTGTTCCCCTTTTTTGCTCCATGACCTTCATCACCATGCAACGCAAAAACCAGTGTGTTGGACGGTTTCCTTTCCTGGTGGCCCTCCTGAAAGAAAGCATGTGCAGGGTCAATGGCTTTGTAGCAGGTCCAAAATTGTTCCAAGTTCTGCCTGCCCTGATCTGTATCCGTGCAGCCACCCATCAGAAGCTCTGGGGCTTTCTCAAGTAAAAACTTTGTGAAATCAAGCGGGCTCAAATATGGAAATTCAAAGGTTCCACCAGATTCCACCAACTTGAATTGGGTGAATGGGATTTTCCATGACAACCCCCATCTCTTGATGAAACGGTGGGCATCCCTGCAGTCATTACCGCGGGATGCAGAAACTTTGCAGGATTCACCGACCTCTTTTCTGGCTTCGTGGGGACAAGCCAGGAATTATCTATTGTGGTCAGGTTTGAAGTTGCCATTGAGCACCCAACCCCATCAGCCAACACTCCCGCATACCTCAAAGAAACATCGCCAGGTTGATGCTCCAAAGGACCTGGCAATAATAGAAGGGGCCGCCCAACTGAAAGACTG